AAAGTAAAAAGTGGTGTCTATGAGAAGGGTTTGATAAGGACTATGACCTTGCAAAATGGTATAGGCATTCAATTGATAAAGTAACTTGTAGTAAAAACATGACCACAAATTGATGATGGGCGTTATGATGAGTGAATAATCTGTAACAGAGAGCTGAACATATACTTACAATATAGGTAAGACGTATGAGTCTGCTTACTCATGTGACATGACTCACAATGCAAAATAAAGACTCAATTCTTGAATGAAGTTTCTGCAAACTCTTTAGGAAAGGTGACTGTAGAGAATTGAGGTAGTATTTTGAAAAATATGACTGTTGCTTGGAAGTTCAGTTAATCGTTTATGGTATGAAAAGTTGCATAGGTTTCTGATCTAACAGGAATGTGCATCTTATTAGAAATTGAAGATTATTGCAATAAGTGGATACGTCCTTAGCGATGTTTGTATTTATGCCCTTTAGCAGTATCCGGAGTCACATCATCATGCTTTTTTATCATAATTATTTCTAGGATTATTTTGCAAGGCAATCTCGCTACAAAACTTCAATATAGAACTTCTAAACCAACAGTCCTATGATTAAATAATATTTCATTCTAGTTGTTGCCACCAAGTCTCTTGCTTTCTTTCAAGACAAGACTATTTTCTATGTGCATGCACTTGTGACATAAACTAACTTGCAAGTTTATTCAAAAGTAATATAGTATTAACTCTATTCTTCAATATGATATCAGCAATTTAGGACTTTGGGTTCCTATATTTTTCATATCTTGGCTTTGAAGATCCTAGAACAATAGCTTAAGTATACATCTATAAAAACATTTCCATCTTTTTAAGATAATAAATTTCTGCCAAGTAAAGTTCAGTATCTTAGCATCATGTGATGCAAACATTGTCATAAAACTTGTTTTTTGTTGATTATTAGGTCATCTGTTACATGCTATTTCAGAATTTTCTCATGCTAGGAAGTCTTTCAAAGCTATTGTTGTTTTTTATGCTTCAGAGAGGAATATTAGTTTTTTTATATTTCATAAATGCCACCATTGAACTTATGTAGGATTATTAATTGTCATAGTGTAGATGTTGTAAATTAGGGGAATCCCTATAATTATGGGATATAATTACCTTCTTAGTCATTATCTTTTTTGTATCTTTTCCTTGATTTAGTTTCCCTTTATCTCCTATACCCTATATATAAGGCCGTGTATAATCAAAGGAAGCATAACATATTAATCTTCAATTCATCTTTCTTGTCATGGTACTAGAGTTTTGGGTTTCTCCTAGAAATCTAAAACCCTATTTCTATATTATTTCAGCCTAAATTGCTCTTCTCAATCTGCAACCTTCATCGCTGCAACTGCTTCTAATCGAACAACCTTATTGTTGAGTTTCTTGTAATTTAACATTCTTCTTTTTATATTCTCTTTTCCCTTTCCTTCATCATGACAAAACCCATAAATAATAAACACAACATTGTTAAATCCTTCGATGAGCCCAACTCTGTCCAGGAAAGTGGAGCTCTACAAAATATCCTGTTTAAACATACCTGAAGGGGCGAAGGGAGACTCAAACACCTCACTGAAGCAGGTCCGGTGTAGATGATCCAACATTTGGATCTTGGGCGGAGGAAGATTCCATGATAACATGGGAATCCATGGACCCAATGATCAGTGACATGTGCATGTTTTCTCTATTGCAAAAGAGATATGGAAATTCGCCGCACTTATTAGAAGGCTCGTAACGCGGCTCAAGTATAGCAAATCAAGGTTAAAACCTCAGCTATAGAGCAAGGAAACAAATCGGTCACTGAATGTGCAAATATTTTGCAAATTTTTTGGCAGGAACTAGATCGTCATTGAGTTTTCGAGATGAAGTGCTCTAAATGCAACTATCTTTAAAAGTTACATTTAAAAGGATCTCGTCTATGATTTTTTGGATGGTTTAAGTCCTGAATTTGATCAAGTCAAGATTCAAATACTTGGCAAAGAAGTGATCTCTTTGATCAGAATAGAAGAAAACAGGATGAATGTCATGCTTGAACCACAAGCTAGTGATGAATCAGCTCTAGCAACAAGGACCAATCAACAAGAGGAAAGGAAATTCAGGAGAATAGAGACACTCTTTGGTGCACTTACTACAATAAACCGAGACACTCAAACAACAATGTTGGAAATTAAAAGGGAAACCACCAAGCAGAGAATGGGAAACCGTGGTGGACAAAAGAATCGTGAATGGGAAACCAGGGGGCAACAAAAGCCTCAATGGGGCAGCAAAGGTCTTGAGCACACATTGTTAAGCAATCCAAACCTGAGGAGAATTTTGCAAGAGAAGGGTTCAACAACGAAGAAATTGAGAGGCTAAAGAACCTTTTGGGATCTCTTGAGAAGTCATTAGAAACTTGTTGTTTAACTTTTTTAGGTAAACCACCATTTTCTTTTTGTTGCCTTAAGTAATCTTGTCAACTCATGGATAATAGACTCTCATGCCATTGATCATATGACACCTTCCCATTTCTTTTCAAAAATACACTCCGTGCCATAATAACCGAAAGATTACAGTAGCCAATGGCTCATTAGCAACTGTTGCAGGCTTTGGAGATATACATATCACACTCAGCTTTGTCTTAAAAAATGTCCTAGATGTACCAAAACTGTTGGCCAACCTTGTTTCAATCCAAAAACAAACCCATGATTTAAATGTTGTGCTATTTTTCCTTTTCATATTGTGTTTTTCAGGAACAAGACTTGAGGAAGAGGATTGTACTTGTTAAGGAAAGGAATGGCCTTTATCATCTTGAATATTCTTGGAAAAGCAACATTCCACCTTCATCCTTTTTCATTTCATGTAATAAAGATATGATTTGTATCACCTGTGCATCTAGGTCACCGATCCTTTAGGGTGTTAGATGTCATGTTTCCTCATTTATTTAAATGATTAGATATTTCCGAGTTCCATTGTCATATATGTGAACTGGCCAAGCATACTCGTGTATCTTTTTATATGAGTAATAAAAAGAGCTCTCTTTCATTCCAGTTAATTCATAGTGACATATTGGGACCTTCTAACATACCTGATGTGTTTGGGATTCATTGTGGTTTGTATCCCTACTTGATGATTGCACTCAGGTTACATAGCTCTTCCTCCTTAAATAAAAATATAAAGTTAGCATGTTATACCTAACTTCTACTCAATGATTAAAACCAGGGGTCAAAACAAATTTAGGACCGGCAATGCCAAGGACTATTTTAACCAGATTTTATCACTCTACTTTCAATCACAAGGCATTATCCATTATTCCTCATGTGTTAACACACCCCAACAAAATGGGGTAGCTTAAAGGAAAAAATGGTCATTTACATAATAGTACCTGAGAATTGCTTTTCGAGGGAAATGTTCCTAAATCCTATTGAGGAAAAACGGTCATTCCCCCACGTTTCTATGGTGACATAGGTAACAAGGTGTGCAAGCTGAGACAAGCGCTCCATGGAATGAAACAATCCTCTAGGATGTGGTTTGGGAGATTTGCAAAAGTCATGAAGGAGTCAGATACAAACAAAGTCAAGGGATCACACTCTCTTCATTAAACACTTGTCGACTGGGGAATAAGTGCTCTTCTCGTCTATGTGGATGACATCATAGTTACAGGAAATGATGAGAGAATTTGAGATAAAAGAACTAGGAATGGGAATTGAGGTCGCATACTCTAAGCAAGGGATCTTCATATCTCACTAGAAGTATGTGACTTATTTATTGGTAGAAGCAGGAAAGAGCGGGTGTAAGCTGGTTTCTACACCAATTGACCATAACCATAAGTTGGGTGAAGCTAAGGAAGCACCGGCTGTTGACAAGAGAATGTACCAGAGGTCGGTGGGTAGACTAATATATCTTGCTCACACTCAGCCAGTCATGAGTGTAATTAGTCGGTTCATGCACGATCCAACATAACCTCATCTTCAAGCAGCCTAATAGGGTACTACATTACTTGAAATTGAAAGTAATCCAGGTAAGGGTATTATGTTTAAGAAGAATGAAAATCTTACTTTCGAAGCCTACGTTGATACTGACTATGCTGGTTCGAAATTGGATTATAAATCGACTTTAGGATATTGCATTTTCCTTGGAGGTATTCTAGTGACATGGAGAAGCAGGAAGCAAAATGTGGTGGCAAGGTCATCTGTAGAATCAGAGTTTAGGGCTATTGCTGATGGATTATGTGAGTTATTATGGTTGAAGATTATTATGAATTATTTACAGAACAAATGGGAAGGTCCTAGAAGCTCTATTGGCGACAACAATTCTGCTATCAGTATTGCCCATAATCCCGTTCAACATGACAAGACAAAGCATATTGAAATCGATTGGCATTTCATTAAAAAGAGAAACTGGAAGAAGGATTAGTGTTAATGTGTTTTGTGCCATCGAAGTGTCAACTAGCTGATGTTCTAACAAAAGGCATAAATAGTTTGAGTTTCCATGATCTTATTTCCAAGCTGGAAATGGAAGACATCTATTCCTCAGTTTAAGGGGGAGTGTCAAAGTGTACAAGTTGTAAATTAGAAGGAATCCCTATAATTATGGGATAAAGTTGCTTTCTTAGTCGTTATCTTTTCTGTATCTTTTCCTTCATTTAGTTTCCCATTATTTCCTGTAGATAACCTATATATAGGGCATTGCATAATAAAAAAAACCATAGAAAATTATTATTCAATTCATTTTTCTTGTCATTAACTTCTATACATGTTTGCTTATGAATGTAAATCTACTTAGGGTTATTTAGATATATAAGACCCTAGAACAACTTTTTGTCATCAAGATGTCCTCAAACTCATGTTGGCTGCAACTTCGAGAGTAATATCTTTCAGATGACTAACGTATATCAGGGGTTATCTTCTGCCATCTGCTACATGTTAATCTGTTAGTGCTTTTTTTCTGTGCTTTATGGTTTCCTTCTGATTTGTTGTCATGACTACTTGAATTCCATGGATTTATGTAATAAATTGCAGGCCAATGGTCAAACTTCCTGCTATGATTGTCAGATTGATTGTTTATCTCATTAAATGGATGCATTCACAGACCTACTCCAGAAACATCAGTAATTCTGCTTCAGTTCACAATATTGTCCAATTGATGTCACACACTACAACCTATGATTGCTCTGCAGCCCAGCAACATATTGAATACTTGCCCGTTGTCTCACTGGATGTAAGTTTTATGAGTTTGTAATGTGCTTTAAATTTTGCTATGATGCTATGTTTCTAAATTCTATTTTTCTTCTAAAATATTTGATTATTGCATTCGCTGGTTTAAAAGAATTATCGTTTGAAGTCTGTGTTGAAGTCCGTCATTATCATTCTATATCTCATGCAATGTTAAATGTTTTTTTTGATTAACCTGGATATCCAACCTGCTATGCGAGTCGACTAATCCCAGGGCGACTACCTGCTTTGCAGATAGTCACTAGTGACTAGAGACATGCTATGTCTCTATATCTTAGCATGTCTCTAGTCACTAGTACGCTCTTTTAGGGAAAGCCTATTTGCCTGTGTCTCTGGAGAAGATGCCAAGGGTTCTGTTTCTTGGATGAGGTCTGTCAACTTATTTCAGAGCAGTTATTCATGCACGTTTGAATGGACCGACTTATTTTGTTTATTTTTGGGATGGGGCTGAAGGTAGGGCCAACAAGAACACGATGCACACGGGGGAGGGGGGAATTCTGGATGGAATTAATGGGGGACAAAGTAAACAAATTTTATTCTTGTTATAGGAGATATCTGTGCAAAGTCTTTGGGAGAATCAAGGATAGGCTGAATTATCATGGATGTCATAGACTCAAAAAGTTTCAATGAATGGAATATAACAAATTAATTGGCGTTCCATACAAGAGACTGAAGGAACACTGTTACTGTTTGCTTAGTCTTTGATCTTGGTTAGCTCTTTTATGGTTTTCGAGAATTTTTTGTTATTGTATTGTCATGTAGTTTTTTTCCGAAGGCCGTGTTTCATCATTTTTTGATGTCACACCATATCTCGTTTAAAACCAGTGTCTTGTTTCAGAGTGATGCATCAATTGCTTTTTATTCTGTCTACCAGTGATTTGTCGTAAAAAATAATGCTCGAGAAAATATTGCAACCATTTGCTTTCCTTTTCAACTATGTAATAGATGTTCTGTCAAGGCTCTTTACTGACTGGTGCTTGATATGTTATTGCATGAAAAAAGAACAAGGAGATGAAAGATAAGATGACCAGCACCTTTGTTGTTATCGGATTTTTGATACTAATGTTTTTATCGAGGATAAGGATTTGTCGATTGGTATAATTGCTGTTGTGGCTCCCTTCTAGAAAGGGAATCATTTAAAATCTCACGAGGCTTGATATGTTATTTTTTATGCATTACCATGTTACAGCAAGGTGTCAGATCAACCATAGAATCATTCTCTCATCTAGCAAAGGAAAAATTTTCCATAAGTCTTGATGAACTTTATGAACAATCGAAAATGGAGCAGCTGCTAGGCGGTGGGGAAGGTATTTGACAATTTCTGCACCTGATAATTGACAATTTTTAGTTATAACCACTGCAGTTTTTGTTTTGCTTGCTAAGTTGCACTGGTTGCTAATTATGCTAACTACCTGCAACATTAATGCCACAATATTGATATGAGATTGGAGTTATTGCTTTCCGCTGATCTGCCCAGAGTTATATTATATATATTTCCGATTGCTTCTAGTATTATACTATGATGTTCAAACCCTGAATAGTTTCTATATATAGGCATCCTTATCATAGTTCTACTATGGTCATAATTTCCTTGGGATTTATAATCTGTGGAATTTGATCTCCATGCTTTTTCATTGGGGCGTCTCTCAAAAGAGAGTTTGCATTTTTGTTGAGCTCTTCCTTGAAAGGCTAAAAGTTATTTTATTTTTTAGTTTAGCTCGTTTGGGTTGTTTAAATTGAAAAACGAGAACTAAATGTGTAATTTACCTTGCTTCCCATTAGTAAAAGAGGAGGAACTCTTAATCAAATGATAGCTGAGATCACCTTGTTAGATGTTGACGAACATACTAGACCATCCAGGTTTTATCGTTTAATTTTATTGGAGGTAAAGATATCATCTGCAGCAAATTGATCTGAACTAGGATTATCACAAAATAAAATAGAAGTATATGACCCTGAAATTACCACTATAAGAATATCGCTTTCTCTTTCCTTTTTATGTAAATAGGTAAATATATTTGTCAATCTGATACCATGACATTTTTGTTTTAAAGACGTGGAACCCCTATGATTTTCTCCAAAAGTGCCCTTATAGAGAGGGAGGAAGTTCCAACTTACGTATAGGTTAGATGGACCACGTCTTGCTTATGTGGGACTCCAACACACCCCCTCGAATGGAGGCTAGATAATGTCCCTAAAACTGGAGGCGAAATTGTCTGTTGAATCCCTATAGGATGCTAGATATGTTCTAAGGCGTTGTTTACCAAATTTTATATTAAGTCCTGTCTAGATAAATTTGTCTGTCTGGATAAATGAGTGTTGTTGTTTACTTTTTTTTATCTGAACCAACAGTCTGAATAGCATAAATGACCGATTTACCCCCCAATATTAATTATTTGAACATCAAAACAAAAAATCATAAAGAGGCCGACGATGGGGTGTCTCATATGGGAAGGAGGCGGTGCTTTAAATAAGGGGTAGGGGTGTCATTTTTGTGGCTGAATGGGGACAACACACCATTTCTATCTGTGCGATTAAGCCATGTTCCTGTGCGAATAAGCCGTAAGTAAACAACCCAAATGAGTTGTGCGAATAAGCCAGATAGACCAATAAGCCTAATTAAGCCACAAGTAAACAGCCCCTAAGCCTTCTTCCCTAAGAATAGTCCCCTTCTAGGAGATCTCTTGAGATATCTCAGAATGAAGTAAGCTGCATTTAAAAGAACCATCTTAGGAGAGTGCATAATTGGCTGATTTAAACTCGCAACTAAAGCAATAAGATCATTGTGTGAGTAGTCGATTAACTTCCCAACCACTCTTTTGATATCTTCCAAAATCAACCACATCACCTTCAATATCACCAAGATTTTCAGTGGCGTTGCAGGCGTGTCAGCCAGCTTACAACCCATCATCCCTGTATCTGAAAGTAGATCTGATATACATTTATGTTGCCTTACTATGGTTCCATTTAAATTTTGCATCTTCCATTGCCGAGAAATACTTCAGTGGTCTCAAATCGTTGATGTCAAATGCTTGTGTTAGACTTGCCTTCAAATTGTCTATTTCATCATGATCGTTCCTTGTGATGATGTTATCATCTACATATACTACTAAAACAATCATCTTCCCATTTTTCTTCCATTTAAAGAAATAAGGTGTGATTACCGAACATCTAAATCTCTTGAACCAAGCTCGAGGTGATTGGTTCAACCTATAAACAGTCTTTTTAAGTGACATGCTTTAGAATCAAACTAAGTCTCAAAGCCTAGAGGAGGTTCCATAAACACTTCCTCTTCAAGTTGCCCTATTAGGAAAGCATACTTCACGTTTAGGGGCCGTTTACCAAACGTTTACCCGGGTAAGTGCTTACCAAGTCATATTACCTTCCCAGATGAATATGGCAAGGACCAAGAATCTTACCCGATAAGAGTGAGGCAAGGACCGAGAGTCTTTCCCGGTAAGTGATGACGATGACTCTTACCACGGTTAGCACTTACCGGGTAAATTGTTGCATACAATGCCGTTTTGGCGGACTCAAATCTTACCCGGTAAGCAAGTGATAGTGTTGAATTTTACCGGTAAGTGTTTGGTAAACGGCCCCTTAGTTGGTGTAGCGACTACTCTAGGTTTATTGCAACTGACAATAGGACCCTTACTATATTGAGTTTCACCTTTGGAGCTAATGTTTCAATATAGTCCACACCACAAGTCTGAGTGACCTTTTGCTACCATTTTTACCTTGTATCTTCAAGGTTCTATCAGATTTGTACTTGACTTTGAATACCCATTTATGTCCTACCAACTTATTTTAAGGAGTAAGAGCTACGTTTACCCACGTGTAATTTTTTTTAAGGGCATTCATTTAATCCAAAACCATTGCCTTCCATTCAGGGACTTGTAAAGTTGCTTGTATAGACCTTAGAATTTCCACATGATGAAGATTTGAGATAAAACAAAAGAAAGATGGAATCAAGTTTCGAAGAGAGACAGAGGTAGACAAGATATTTGAAGGTGCATATTCTAACTTCTTTTCTAAGAACGATTCAGGCTAATAAAGATCAAGATTTGGATTCAAGGTTCAAAGGAATAGGATCAAGAGAAACAGTAACCAGTTGTAGGGCTTCTTTTGGGCTATACATAGGGCAGACTGAATGTATTTCATAATAGTGGTTACTAGAGTATGCTTGGCTAAATTTCTTGTCATAGTATGGATTTTGTTGTGTGTCATCAAGAATGCTAGTTATGGCCGATTCATTACGTGTATTATGTTGTTCGACCAGCATTATTAGATTCATCACCCATGTGATTTAAATTTGACTCATTTTCTTGATTTTTTTTGCTTTTCCCATTGCAGTGAAAACATTTGTAACCATCTTGATAGGTTATATACTCTAGAAAATTTATATCCGATGAAAGCATTTGTAACCATCTTGATAGGTTATATACTCTAGAAAATCACACTTTTTCTTGCTTTACTATCAAGTTTTGTTTTTTCTCTTCTTGATTTGAGACAAAAATAGTGCAACCAAAATATCTTGAAGTGTAAATCTAAAAAAACTCTAGGATCCAGGTTATATGCGTGAAACTTTTGTAAAGGTTGTCACCCTAGAAGGTTTTAGGTACATTATTTGAAGAGAACAATGTTCTTGTGACTTCAAGTAAATGCCTTTTTTCCTTTCAGCTGCACTGTTCAGTTCAGGTGCGTCAACACAACTACACAAGAACTGTGTTGTATGATGGTGGAAAAATATTCCCTTCCATTATATCTCCTAACGATTCAATTATTTTCATCATATTGAATTTGAACTATGAAGTAGAACATTTTGAAAATATCCACAACTTCATGTTTCTGTTTCATAAAGAAAATCAACATAGTTTATGTGTGATCATGAATGAAGGAAACAACCCATGTTTTGGTGATCACAAAACTCAGCAAAAGCTTGGGCCAAACATTACTTTTACTATCTTAAAATTACAAGAAAATAAATTGAAAAACAACATAAATGCTAGAAGCCGTTCTATCAATGTTGTTGCAAATGATTTACAAAGCATAGGAATAAACAACAAAATGACAAGCAACTGATAGAGAAAGATTAAATATAAAAACTTGAAGAAGCTGAAAAAAAACTAAATATGTAAAATAAAAACTAACATCCACTCCTAAAAGAACTCTCATTTGTCCACAAAATAATATTACCAGAGGCTGTCCAAAAGTAAGAAGTTAACAGACTTTGCCTTTGTCTAGCAGATACTTTGGGAGCTTTATCAACTCCAAGATATCTTCCCACCTTGTATCAGCTGCTACCATTAATTGAGGCCACTTTTTTGCTGCAGTATAATCTTTCTAAAAGCTCATGCTTTTGATTGTCAATTTAGTTAATCAAATGATAGTTTAGTGAATTCCTTAATCAACTTTCAGAATAGTCTAATAGAATCGTTGCCTTTGACTTTTTAGGTGATGAACTTGAATTACCGCATCAACAATTTACCAATAGTAACTTCTTGTGATTCACACATCAAAATTCTTAATTTTCATGTTTAGTAACTTCTCTGTTATAATATGAACTGTTGTGTACAATCTTTTCTTTTCTGATTTATATTTATATCAATAATTTGACTTCCGGTGGATGCAGTTGCAGAGATCTTATTGTGGAGAGATGAAAGGAAATCATTTCTTTGCTTTTGTGGAGTGGCTTCTTTGTTCTACTGGTTTTGTCTCTGTGAAAAAACAATCATCTCCTCTGCAGCACATCTTCTGCTGCTGATCGTAATTTGTCTGTATGGATATGCTACGCTGTGCTCAACTGAAGTGTAAGTATTAACCCCTAAAAGCTTGTCGAGTCAAAGAACTGGGCTTGAAAGAAACTACATCTTTTTTTCTTTGTTCTGTATTTGGAAAAAATCAACATGTATATATAGTAATATGTTGTTACAACATGGGTTACCAAACTGGTCAATCTATCATTGTTAGATGCATCGATCCACAAAGCCACCATTGATATTGTCTGTCGTAACCGTGCTACCACTGGGCATTGGTGATGGAAAACTGCGAGGCAATAGTAGCATATCGAACCTTAAATTTGAGTTTTAAGGTCAACGATGTGAACACAAAAACCCAAACTGTAAATTTTTGAAATTGGATCTGATTCTTAGTCTTCTGTAATGCATTTGGTAACTATAATTAATTTTTTGTTTATTTGCCACCGACTGGACGAGTACGTTGTTCTTTTGTTTTGGTATATTACTCGTAGAAAGTTCAGTATACCGTGTACGTTTACATTTATTTAGTTCTGGAATCCGTATTAGAACTGATATTCAATTCCTCTGCTGCTGCAACTTACACTAACATTCATGCATGTCTACAGGTCTAGCTATTCACAATTTGAGATCTCTGAAACGGGTATGAGGAGTTCCGTGAGAACCATAGCAAACATCTGGAATCGAGTAGTAGCTCATGTTGCTAGATCGTTGGCACGAGGACGAGAATGGAGTTTGTTTTTCAAGGTACTTTACTATGTTGCTGTCCAACTATATTATACTATGATTGCGTTTCCTTGAATGTTTCAAGCACCTGCAGGAAATGATTTTAGTAGATTAGGGAAATCCTAAAACATCTTTTTTTTTGAAGTATATAATATTTATATACGGCAAATAGAACAAATAAACTCACACACCCTCAAAACATCTTACCATATAAACAGTGATTAATTGTATAGCGATAGAGGGGTAAAATGAACAACTTTGTTAATTGGTCAAAACAGGTGAATTTTAGGACCGGTCAAAACGAGTGGGTTAGGTTGGTCTGCCACACTCCTTTTGTTACTTCTTTTGTGTAATTGTTGTACATTTAATCAACTAAATGGCAGACAGTTGTACGGAGTAATGAATTTCTCCACCTCATAATCAAAGGTAGAATTGGAAAGCCGTTCCCTACAAACCATGTTTTCATGGGGGATATATTTGGTTTATCTTATATCATCAATGGGTTGTAAGATTCGTTTGTTTCCATGTTGGCGGATGCAGGTAGTGGTTTCACTCTATCTTTTCAAGTTGCTTCTCGTCAACTCTTTCCCAGCGTCATTGGGAATAGGTATGCATCGTCTGCTTGATTGTGTCGTTGCTTCACTCTCTATCTTCGATTTTGGCTGATTAATTACTGGTTTAACCTCTCACGACAGCACTCGCTTTTTCGTTCATTTTGTTCTTTGTTTACGAGCAATACGAAGAGGAAATTGAAGGATTAGCAGGGATTTTAATGGAGGTGGTGAGACAAACCGTGGCAACTCGTTTACCCCTGCCCGAGTCGCCCCCACTATATATATAACACCACCACTAGAAGACCTTCGCTTCGATGTAGGTAGGGGTATCTGCTAAACCTAACCTCTAAAAACTGTTGAAAACAAGAAATCTGAGATGTTATTAGATAGTTAACTCTCCACAATAGTTCTAGCAATAAACATACGTCTCTTTTGCTTGTACACATTCCCATTTTATTTTCTGTGTAAGTGAGAATCGTGTTAAATAGGGATCTCAAGAAGATGCAAATTGAGTAAAAATCATGCCCCCCATGCCCCCCATATCTGAGGCTACAACTTTGGTAACCCCTGTAGCTCTTAATTTTGTATTTCTAATATCTTTGATATTTTTACAATCCAGATATTCAACCCAAGGATTTATAATTGACTAGAAGGGTATTCGTGTAATGCAGCGAGATATATCTTGATTTTAATGTTTCGTTTTATTCCATCTTTGTAGATGTTTTAATACGGTTTTATGTGGTCTTGAGAAAGAGATCATGTTTTTGTTTTTGAACAAAATATAAATTTGAAGATATTATAAAATTTCGAAAATAAATATATCAATATTAGTATCAAATTAACTATTTAAAARWTYWTKYWTTTTKTGTRWWWTYTTTWAWKYMAWTTTWTTATTAATAATTTAATTTAGATTTAATAATGAAGTAATTTTTTATGAGTTAATGATATAATTTTTATAAGAATTATAATTAAGTATTCTATTATATCTCAATGTTTATTTTAATTAAATTTTAGATTTTTTATATTTAAAATTAAATATTTATCTTGTATTTGATTATGTTTATCTGCAGTTAATTACATAAATTCAAACATGAAGCTTTAAAGTTGTACTTATGTACAATTTATTTGTAATCTTGAATTTTAAGTAATATGCATCAATAAACAGTATTTCATGCATAAAAAATGATTTTTAAGAGTTTTCTTCAAATGTTTTATAATATAGTATAGATATTCTGGTGAGATTTTATTTTTAAGACTGAACTAACAAATTTGGTTTTAGCGGTTTGTTGTTAACATTTTTTGTGCATACAGTTTTTGAAATTACAATATCATCTTTCTGGTTTGCAAAAGCATTTGGATTTGATTTCTCTCTCTCTAACAGTTGTTAAAAACCCGTTAACAGTGGTTAAAAAACCCGTTAAATTTTAATGAGCAACAAACTAATACAAATTTGAAGTTTAACCAAAAACCAATGTAAAAATTGAGACTAAAAATCACCATCAACGTTAATAACATATGAACATAAACCATAATTTTGTACAATTTTGGTTCTAAAGTGTTATTTTAATTATAAGTTGAAACTATTCCAAACCATAAATCAAATCATAAGTTGGACCTTGGATCAACTTTGAAGTATAGATTCAAGTTTGAAATTGAATCAAACTCTAGATCAACATCCATACCAATCAAATGGATCTGATAATAATTTCTTTCCACTGGAACACGTCTGAATCGGAAATGGAATCGATCTTCATGGGAGGTTATGATCCATCCTTGTATGGCAGTTAGCTTAGAGGGGGTGTAGGCAGTGGTGTTCTCTTACCATTGATTTGAGAACTAAATCTGGTCGATTTTGCTAACCATGATGGTCATTTTGAAATTACGAAATTGTTGGAATGGAAAGTGTTTCATGTTATTAACCTGAATATCCAACCCGCTATGTGGGCCGACTAATCCCAGGGCGACCATCTGTTTTGCAGATAGCCCGAAGTCACCACATTTGAACCCCCGTAGCCACAAGAGGATTTTATTTCTCCTTGGATTTGAACCTGAGACCTCCTGGTACTAAACCGTGAAATTGTTTATTATGTAATAATTATTTTGAAGCATTTGGTGCGTGAATATATCCTTGGACAAAATAAGAATTAATCAATGTGATTAAATTATAAAATGTAGTAGAGGATTATTATAAATAGTTTTCAGTACCAGGAGGTTTCAGGTTTAAATCCAAGAAGGAACAAAAATCCCCTTGTGGTCACATAAATTCAAATGCGATGACTTTGGGCTATCTGCAAAGCATGTGATCGTCCTGAGATTAGTCGGCTCACATAGCGGGTTGGATATCCAGGTTAATAAAAAAGAAGAAGCAAATAAAACTTGCAAGTAAATACTAGAAAATGCTTAATACCTTCGATGCTTACAAAAGAGAGAATTACAAGACTTAAAGTTCATTGAGAAACTTTCAAGCATATCCTGAAGCGAGAACACACGTCTCATTATATAACTCAAGGGAACAAGATACAACAGTAAAGATCGCATCAGAAAGTACAAAAGGTGATGAACTCATTGGATAATTACTTGATGACACTACATGCTTATATAGAAACTAACATAAAGTACATACATTTTTTAAAAGGGGAATTTATAAAAATAACCATTTTATACAATCTTTTGCCACAAAATAACCGGGTTTTAGAGGTTTTGCGTATTTGACCACCCAGATCGCCCCCGGGGCGATCCGTACACATATGGGGCGATCCGTACATGTTGGGGGTGATCCCCAATAGAATTCTAAAAAAAAATCCTTAAAAGACGAGATTACTGTTCACCCTCGAAGACCGGGTTTGACCTCGCCCTAGGGGGCGATCCAGATTGTCCCATCGCCCCCAGGGGCGATCCAGCCTTTTATTATTATTTTTTTGATTTTTTTGTGATATTTTTAATAAAACTGATACGCCATTTAAGTTGTGTTTTTTTAACTTTTTTAGAACCAAATTTCATTGGTAAAAGTTTAAAAATAAACCATTATAATTATGAAGACGCAAAAATTATTTTTATCTGATTTGGGTTTCGTAAATCAGATATAAACCCATACATCTCTTATTTTTTTCATTTTTTTCATTTTTTTCTACCTCCAATTTCACTATAAATACCAACCTCCTACTTCATAATTTTTCACACATTCCCTTTCATTTCTTTTCTCATATATTCTACTCTCACAACCCTTAACCCATTAAACACAATCAACCATCACAAAACATGAAATCATGTCAAAATGATGATAGTTGTGTGTATCTTCGAAGTGGCGGTTTATTCCAAGATATAAATGGTGTTTTAGAGTACCTTMCGATAACSTCCYCCACATGTGCAATACGTTTGTCTTCGCCAATAACGTATTCTGGGGTCGTCAAACGTGTAACGAAAAAGTTAAGTTTACGTGGTCCTTTCAATTTATTTTTTAAAACGAATACGTTATATCAGTTTATGGACGACGATGATGTGGTAATCCTCCACAACGCCATTCGTCAAACTTCACCAGAAATGTTGACACTATATGTGGTCGACAATGGAGGTTATGGAGGAAATCCATCAAGTGCAAACCCGGGCGGTCCAAACACTTTTTACCCCGGTGCTGTGAGCACACTCTTCCCTGACGTTAGCGGTGCAAACCCATATGGTCCAAGCACACTCTTCCCTACCGGTTGTGCTCCTGGTGTAAATCAGAGCACTTTCTTCCCTAGTGGTGGAAGTGGTGAAAATCGAAGCACCTTTTTCCCTTACGATGGCGCGGGAAATTCATATCTTAAACAAAAAGTTACCGTTGAACCTGAAAGTTATTTTGTTCAAGACTTGAACATGCCTCCGTTGCAGTCTCCCAACCCGTACCCGATTCGGTCTCCCGAACTGTCAAAACCGTTGTGGGAGGTAGATATGGCAGAAGATGTTTATGTTGCTGCCGAAATTTTGAACATACCCGAAGACGACGATAACTCCGATTCTGAAGATATCAAGCCGGTAAGGAATAGTTTTTGGGGTATGCCCGACCSACCACCTTRTCCGGACCCAGTTATCAAAAGTAGACAGGGAAACATTTCCTACCAGCCTACATCCCATGTCAAAATTCTACAAACCTTTGACTCGAAAGAACCACTTAAGCTCTCAGTGGGATTAAAGTGCATTCATGAAAACTTTCAGATGAAAGTAAATAAATCTTCCAAACACCGGTACGAGGTGGTGTGTCACTCAGATTCGGACTGTAATTAGCGTTTGATGGCTGTTTCCATCGATGGTACCAGTATTTTTCAGGTACGGAAGCTCCACGATGAACACACATGTTCAAGGTCCCAAGTGCACCCAAACCACCGTAATGCGAATAAAAAGGTTTTGGGTCATATACTGGCAGACAGTTTAAAGGATTGTAGGAGAGTGTATCGTGGTAAAGAAATTATGGAAGATGTGAACCAACGGTTCAACATTAGCATCTCCTACCATCAAGCATGGCGAGCAAAGATGTATTCCTTGCAACTGTTGAGGGAGACCCCGAAATCGTCGTTTAACCTACTCCTGGTTTATTGTCAGAATCTGAAGCTAGCAAATCTAGGGACTGTAATAGAGATCGCTCTTGATCCACTTGGACGATTCGACATGTTGTTTGTCGCACTCGGTTGTTCGGTAATAATTTTGTCATATTTTATAACTATTGTCATAATTTTATGTTCTGAAATTACATTTTTAATCTCGTTCATCTGTAGATTCGATCGTTTCTAGGACACATGAGACCGCTTTTTATAATGGACGGTGCCCATCTTAAGGGGCCGTACGTTGGCACCATGTTCTTAGAGGTCGGCATGGATGAAAACAATGGTATCGTACCCATTGCAATGAGAGTGGAGAAGACAGAAAGTGGTCCGTCATGGACATGGTTTTTACGTAAGCTTAGGCAGTGCATCGGTGATGTGCCCAATTTAACCTTCGTCACCGATAGGGCTGCCTCTATCGACCTGGCCATACGAATTGTATTTCCTTCTGCGCACCACGGACTTTGTTGTCGGCATCTGAGCCAGAACCTCCGCCTAAACTCTGCTAAAGAGAAAAGGAAACGGTGGATGTTCTGAGAGGCATGCAAAGCTTACCGGTAGTCGGACTTTGAAGCTACTATGGATTTGATGCGACACAGTCTACCTAGAGCCGCTCAATATCTTGAAGAAGTTGGCTATGCTAGATGGATCGCACTTCCCTGGATTGCGTTACAGTGCAATGACGTCCAATAGTGCTGAGTCCGTCAACTCAGTAACATGGTTTGCACGCTATCTTCCAATAACAATGTTAGTTGAATTTTATCGGGCGACATTGCAACAATGGTATTTCATACGTCGGCATAACGGAGGTAAATTCAACCATCCTTTCACATGCGTATTTATACGTATGTATGCGTACGGATTAAAACCCGTAAGCATATTTACGTATCTTCACGTATGTATACGCATATATGTATACGGGTTAAAACCCGTACGCATATTTATGTAAAAAAAACGATATAAATTGTAGTAAAGTATATACATATAGAGATGCATTACGTAAAAAAACGATATAAATTGCGGTAACGTATATATATATATATAGAGAGAGAGAGAGAGAGAGCGAGAG